TTCAACATTCTTAAAGAAAAGAATTTTCAACGCAGAATTTCATATCCAGCCAAACTAAGCTTCATAAGTGAAGGAGAAATAAGATCCTTTACAGACAAGTAAATACTGAGGGACTGTGTCACCACCAGGCCTGCCTTACAAGAGCTTCTGAAGGAAGCACTAAATATGGAAAAGAAAAACTGGTACCAGTCACTGCACAAACATACCAAAATGTAAAGACTATCGACACTATGAAGAAACTGCATAAAAAAAATGGGCAGAATAACCAACTAGCATCATAATGAAAGGATCAGATTCACACATAACAATATTAACCTTAAATGTAAATTGGCTAAATGCTCCAAGTTAAAGGCACAGACTGGCAAATTGGATGAAAAGTCAAGACCCATTGGTGTGCTGTATTTAAGAGACCCATCTCACATTCAAAGAACACACATAGGCTCAAAATAAAGGGATGGAGGAAGATTTACAAGCAAATGGAAAGCAAAAAAAAAAAAAAAAAAAAAAAACAAGTGTTGGAATCCTAGTCTGTCATAAAACCGATTTTAAACCAACAAAGATCTAAAAAGACAAAGAAGGGCATTACATAATGGTAAAGGGATCAATGCAATAAGAAGAGCTAACTATCCTAAATATATATGCACCCAATACAGAAGCACCCAGATTCATAAAGCAAGTTCTTAGAGGCCTACAAAGACTTAGACTCCCACACAATAATAGTGGGAGACTTTAACACCGCACTGTCAATATTAGACAGATTGAGACAGAAAATTAACAAGGACATTTAGGACTTAAACTCAGGTCTGGACCAAGCAGACCTAACAGACATCTACAGAACTCTATCTACAGAACTCTCCACCCTAAATCAACAGAATATATATTCCTCTCAGCACCACATAGCACTTATTCTAAAATCAACCACATAATTGGAAATAAAATACTCCTCAGCAAATGCAAAAGAACAAAAATCGTAACGAACAGTCTGTCAGACCACAGTGCAATCAAACTAGAACTCAGGATTAAGAAACTCACTCAAAACTGCACAACAACGTGGAAAGTGAACAACCTGCTCCTGAATAACTACTGGATAAATGACAAACCTGATAAAGGTCAAAAATAAATAAGTTCTTTGAAACCAATGAGAACAAAGACACAATGTACCAGAATCTCTGGGACACAGCTAAAGCAGTGTTTAGAGGGAAATTTATAGCACTAAATGCCCACAGGAGAAAGCAGAAAAGATCTAAAATCGACATCGTAATATCAGAATTAAAGGAACTAGAGAAGCAAGAGCAAACAAATACAAAAGCTATCAGAAGACAAGAAATAACTAAGATTGGAGCAGAACTGAAGGAGATAGAGACACGAAAAACCCTTCAAAAAATCAATGAATCCAGGAGCTGATTTTTTGAAAAGATTAACAAAATAGATAGATCACTAGCCAGACTAATAAAGAAAACAGATAAGAATCAAATAGACACAATAAATGGGAGATCACCACTGATCTCACAGAAATACAAACTACCATCAGAGAAAATTATAAACACCTCTATGCAAATAAACTAGAAAATCTAGAAGAAATAGGTAAATTCCTGGACATATATACCCTCCCAAGACTAAACCAGGAAGAATTCGAATGCCTGAATAGACCAACAACGAGTTCTGAAATTGAGGCAGTAATTAATAAACTACCAACCAAAAAAACCACAGGACCACATGGATTAACAGCTGAATTCTACCAAAGGTATAAAGAAGAGCTGGCACCATTCCTTCTGAAACTATTCCAAACAACAGAATAAAAAGAGACTCCTCTCTAACTCATTTTATGAGGCCAGCATCTTCCTGATACCAAAACCTGCCAGAGATACAACAATAAAAAAGACAATTTCAGTCCAATATCCCTGATGAGCATCAATGTGAAAGTCCTCAATAAAATACTGGCAAACCAAATCCAGCAGCACATTAAAAAGCTTATCCACCATGATCAAGTCAGCTTCCCTACGCAAGTCAATAAATGTAATCCATCACATAAACAGAACCAATGAAAAAAACACATGGTTATCTCAATAGATGCAGAAAAGGCCTTCGATAAAATTCAACACCCTTCATGCTAAAAACACTAAATAAACTAAGTATTGATGGAACGTATCTCAAAATAATAAGAGCTATTTATGACAAACCCACAGCCAATATCATACTGAATGGGCAAAAGCTGGAAGCATTCCCTTTCAAAACCGGCACAAGACAGGTATGCCCTCTCTCACCACTCCTATTCAACACAGTATTGGAAGTTCTGGCCAGGGCAGTCAGGCAAGAGAAAGAAATAAAGCGTATTCGAATAGGAAGAAAGGAAGCCAAATGGTCTCTGTTTGCAGATGACATGATTTTGTATCTAGAAAACCCCATTGTCTCAGTCCAAAAACTCCGTAAGTTCATAGGCAACTTCAGCAAAGTCTCAGGATACAAAATCAACATGCAAAAATCACAAGCATTCCTATACACCAATAATAGACAAACAGAGAGCCAAATCATGAGAGAACTCTCGCTCACAATTGCTACAGAGAGAATAAAATACCTAGGAATACAACTTACAAGGGATGTGAAGGACCTCTTCAAGGAGAACTACAAACCACTACTCAGGAAATAAGAGAGGACACAAACAAATGGAAAAACATTCCATGCTCATGGATAGGAAGAATCAATATCATGAAAATGGCCATACTGACAAAAGTAATTTATAGATGCAATGCTATTCCCATCAAGCTACCATTGATTTTCTTCATAGAATTAGAAAAAAACACTTTAACTTTCATATGAAACCAAAAAAGAGCCCGTATAGCCAAGACAATCGTAAGCGAAAAGAACAAAGCTGGAGGCCACCTGACTTCAAACTATACTACAAGGCTACACTAACCAAAATACGATGGTACTGGTACCAAAACAAATACATAGACCAATGCAACAGAGCAGAAGCCTCAGAAATAACAGCACACATCTACAACCATCTGATTTTCGACCAACCTGACAAAAACAAGCAATGGGGAAAGGATTCCCTATTTAATAAATGGTGTTGGGAAAACTGGCTAGCCATATGCAGAAAACTGAAACTGGACCCCTTCCCTACGCCTTATACAAAATTAACTCAAGATGGATTAAAGATTTAAAGGTAAGACCTAAAACCATAAAAACCCTAGAAGAAAACCTAGGCAGTACCATTCAGGACATAGGCATGGGCAAAGACTTCATGACTAAAACACCAAAAGCAATGGCAACAAAAACGAAAATTGACAAACGGGATATAATTAAACTAAAGTGCTTCTGCACAGCAAAAGAAACTATCATCAGAGTGAACAGGCAATCTACAGAATGGGAGAAAATTTTTGCAATCTATCCAGCCGATAAAGAGCTAATATCCAGAATCTACAAAGAACTTCAACAAATTTACAAGAAATAAACAAACAACCCCATCAAAAAGTGGGTGAAGGATATGAACAGACACTTTTCAAAAGAAGACATTTATGCAGCCAACAAACACATGAAAAAAAGTTCATCATCACTGCTCTTTAGAGAAATGTAAATAAAAACCACAATGAGATACAATCTCATGCCAGTTAGAATGGCAATCATTAAAAAGTCAGGAATCAATAGATGTTGGAGAGGATGTGGAGCAATAGGAACACTTTTACACTGTTGGTGCGAGTGTAAATTAGTTCAACCATTGTGGAAGACACTGTGGCGATTCCTCAAGGATCTAGAACTTTAAATACCATTTGATCCAGCAATCCCATTACTGGGTATATACCCAAAGGATTATATATCATTCTATGATAAAGACACATGCACACGTATGTTTATTGCAGCATTATTCACAATAGCAAAGACTTGGAACCAACCCAAATGCCCATCAATGATAGACTGGATAAAGAAAATGTGGCACATATGCACCACGGAATACTATGCAACCATAAAAAAAGAATGAGTTCATGTCCTTTGCAGGGACATGGATGAAGCTGGAAACCATCATTCTCAGCAAACTAACACAGGAACAGAGAACCAAACACCGCATGTTCTCATTCATAAGTGGGAGTTGAACAATGAGATCATATGGGCACAGGGAGGGGAACATCACACATTGGGGCCTATCGGGGGGTGGAGGGGCAAGGGGAGAGATAGTATTAGGAGAAATACGTAATGTAGATGATGGGCTGATGGGTGCAGCAAACTACCATGGCACGTGTATACCTATGTAACAAACCTGCACGTTCCGCACATGTATCCCAGAACTTAAAGTATAATAAAAAGAAAAGGAAGCGCAAATTGCAAGCACTTCAAAGATTGAGGTCCTTCTGAAAGCTCTGTGACAACTGACCAGGAATGCCTACATAGAAGTGGTTTGCAACCCGGCCTCCCGCTCCACCTGACCACTCTGCAACTCCTGCAAGTCCACTCACAGTGGCCAGGGCATGGGAACATAGCTTTCTCCAACCCTTGGCCCCAGATCAACCCCTTGTGGGACTCCCTATCCCCTTCAGGGCAGTTCTTTCCCCCTGGAAAGGACTCCAGGGCAGAGGGGCTATCATCCAGGCTGCTAAGGGCCTTGTCCTGGGGACCAGCTCCAGTGAGCCCATTCAGGGCTCTGAGAGCCCCATATATCCCATCTCTTCATCTACGCAGCCACCACCAGCTTAGCGCTGGACCCCAGGATTCTAGAAAGTCCCAGCCTGGAGGTCTAACGTGTATTGTCTCCATTCAGGGAAACACAGTCCCCACGGCTGCAACTTCCCCCTGACACAGGCGACCTTCGCGCAGACAGCAGGAAAACTTTCTGGCCGCCGCTGACGCTTGGTCCAAACAGTTCCCCGCCAGGAGAGAGACTGGGAAAAGGAAGGCGAGGGCAGGTGCAGAGGCTTAGAATTCCCCGCCACGCACACACGCAGATTAGATGGGGCCCGGGGAGGCTGCGGAGCGCGGTTCCCATGGTAACCGAGAGCTGCCACAAAGGCCGCGGCCTGAGATCGCGGTGGATGCGCGCGCGGGTGCCTCGCTTGGGTAAGGGCTGCGCACTTTAGCAATGCGCTCCTCCTTCTCTTTCTCCTCCCCCTCCCTCTCCACCCCCCATCCCCCTCCTCTTCCCCCTCCTCTTCCAAGGGAGAAAGCAGGGAGCAGAGTGGAGGGTCTGGGCAACAAAGAAGCGCCAAGTACATAGACTTCTTTGTTTCTCTTGCCCTTTCTCTGCCTCTCCATTCCCTTGGCCTTTCTGACCTCTGCTTCGACCCAGCTTCTCCCCATTGTGAAGTCCGTTGTTGGGTCATGAAATTTCTACAAATAAAGGAGAAAGGGTCTCTTTCTCTCCAGAAAGCCCCTAGCTCTGGGGCAAAAGTGTGAGTGTGGACAGTATGACTTCTCCCTCGACAGCCTGCACATAGACCAGTCCCCCAACCAGAAACAAATTCCCCAGATCGAAAACTCCAGCCTTGCCCACAAAGCGACTCCTGTGGCCCAAACGCAAGTCACTCAGCTTCCCCTGTTTCCTTCCCCTACCTCTCTAATGTGGGGGGTAAACAGCAGTCCTAACTGGCCTTCCAGGGAGATGGTGAGCAGTGACCAACGTCAGTGTTTTACAAGTGTTCTGTGCTGAGTGACGGCTCAAAGTCACCCTCCATGAAAGTTCAAACCTGAATATATTTGAAATTCTATTTATAAAAAAGGCCGTAGGAAATTATGTTGTCATGAGTGCACTGGGTGTCTATACTGCTAAAAACTGCACTGATTGGTCTAAGGGGGTTGCCAGAACATTTTGACTTCATGTTTGCCCCCTGGCATGTTTTAATGTGGATCCAGATCAGCCCAGACCTGGCACCATGGAATTCACAGAAGTAGGTCATCAGTTGTTCCCCTCATGGGGGAAAGCAGCAGACTTCAGCCAAGAATCCTGCAAGTTAATGAACGAGGTTATAAACAGCTACGGTAGACGATAACAACAGCAACAAGAACGCATTACATTTGCAGAGCACCATGAAATCCTTGGAGTCCTTTACAGAAATGAGGCTTCTCACCTTGATCCATCTAGAGTTTCCAAGCATCGGCTGGCAGAAGCCCAGTGACAGGCAAGGGTTGCCCACTCCATCTTCTTCACTAGCTCCCAGCTTGCTGTCTTAGCCCACCCATAACTCATCTCTTGAGTTTTCCCCATAGCAGGAGGGAAAGTGAAGTGATGGGGGCTGAAAAGTCTGAACCAGAAATTTCATTTGTGGTCAGCCTCCTGTTTGCCTCTCCTTCCTTTGGATCATCCATTCGGTCCATGTCCTTCTATTGAAATCCTGCTACGTGCCTGACATGGTGCCAGGCTACAGTCTCATGGGTGAGGCAGACACACAAACCAAGGAGAAGTGCAATAGGGGAAAGGCAGTGAGAGAGTAGTCGGGAAAAGACAGACTCTTTCTGGAAGAGCCTGTGTGTCTTCCCAGATGAGGTGACTTTGGGTTGGGTTTTAATGAGTGAATAGACTTGCTATAAAGTGATAAGGAAATTGAAACGAAAGGGGGGGACTCCAGATAAAATCCCACTCTGGAGGAGCTGTCAGAAATATGTACTGGATGTTGCAGAAAAAAAAAAGAAGACCCATTAATATATTGAGGTATCTGGTTGGAAGGGACACATACAACTGTCTACCAAAGCTCAAGGCTTCTCTTGCACCAGGAGACAGGGTGAAGCCCTGTCCTCCCATTTCTCCTGTTGGAGATGGGGCTGATGTATCCTGCTGAGACAGACCCTGGCAGCAAATTCCTCAGCCCTGCCAGACCTCAGCCAAGAATCTGTATCCATGAGTCCCCCGGCCCGTCACCGACTGGTCTCCTCCTAGACCTTAGTGGTTTACCGGCCTCTACACTTCTGTGTTGTGTAACTCAAAACATCTTTGTATAGAAACATTTGCCTATGTTCTTCCTATCCCACTAAAATTAGAAAGTGTGAGTTTAATAACAGAATTTATTCTGTGTTTCATATTTAATTCCTTCCAAACTCCAAATGTGGAACAAGGCATCAGTGCCCTCTCAGACTGATGCTTTCTAGGAGAAAGGGGTGCTTAGGCAGCACACCCCAAGTCCCAAGCCTGCCTCTCAGCTCTCTAATCCATAGAAGATGCCCGGTCCGGTTTTGACTGGTGGTTGTAATAAACTTCACCTTTATGTTGGTTCACAGCTTCAAGCAGTGCTTTTGGAGCATGGCTATATGTGTATGGTCTGCACTTAGCCGTGACCATGGGCTGAGTGCCCAGGGAGCTACACCTGATCATGTTCATGGACACATTAACAAAATAAACATTGTCAATACTCCTCACCCAGGCCTAATTTTCTGAACCCCTGACAAAAGCTGGAGCTTGCAGCCCTAATCAAATTAGTCTGTACAACCGGCTTCCTACAAGGTCTCAGAGATTATTGGAGGCACCAAGGAGAGATTCAGGTACAGTTCCCAGGTACTATTAGGAATCTGGTCCAGAACCCACCAATTCCCAGAACTCTGTAGCCTTTTGGCCGTGAATATTTTTTTCATTAGGAAGGGCTCACTGCTACAAGGGTACCCCTCTTTGAACAAGGACATAGGTCCAACATAGGATAGATAACATGTCTACCAAGGTAAACCATTCTCTATCCTGCAAAATTCCTAACTGCTAGAAACTTGCAAACTCCTAACACCATCCTGGACTCTGTGGAATGTGCAAATGAGCTCTTTTGCCTGGATGTCTAAAGAGTCCAGTCTTCACATTGAGAATGGCCTCGATGTGACCTAAGGAAGAAATCCATGAGCAGTCAAAACCAGAAAGTCCTTTGGCTCCTGGTCTTACCATCCTTCCCAATGACTAAGTGGGGCAATTTCAGGTCATAAAAGATGCCCTTCCTCCCTGATTCTATACCTCCCTGATCCCCCCTTGAAATCCAGAATGCTTGCTGTTTCCGTAGTCTGTCATGTGAAAACATAGACCCTCTAGCCAAGGCAGCTGCCCTTGATTCTTTAGGGAGGTCAGCAGTGGGAGGAAGAGCCCTACTGGCCAGGTAGGTAGGAGGGAGGAGAAAAGGTTGTCACACGGGCATTAAGGGCATAGGCCCCTTCCATAAGTAAGCTCCCCTGCAACATCCTCTGGCTAGCTTTTAATTCAGTGAGGACTGCCCAGTTCTCTCATGGGCCCCATACCCCAGGGGCCAGAGGTAGTGCTGGCATCTGCTAGCTCCCCATCATCTCCCCTTACAGATGATTTCTCTTCCAACTCCTGTTAAAACTCTCCTCTTTTTTTGTTCGTTACAACATAATCATACTATGTCGTATTTTATTTTCCTGTCTTTCTGCTTAAGCAAGAAACTTTCTTGAAAACTATCTTATTAAGTGTGCCTTATGCAACCTTGTGGCCCCAGTGCCTGACACAGTGTCTGGGACATTAAAAAGTCCTCAATAAATGTTCGTGGAAGGAAAGAGGTAAAGAAGAAAGAGAAAAAGGAGAGGAGGGAGACTTGAAAGCTTATCATTTTCAGAAGCACATTGGATAAGGTCTGGTGAATACACTAAATGATAGTATCAGGACTCACCAATATTTGGGCAGCTTAGAGGGGTGAGGCAAAACCTGCAAGATGAAGTGTAACATCAATCCATGTAAATACTGGTATCAGGTTCAAAAAATAAGTAGAAGTTTAGCACAGAAGGAAAAACAGATAAAGAACATAAAGCTACCTTCAAATATTTGCAGCTCACTGTGAAGCAAGTCTGGACTATGTAGCCTCGGGGAGCAGACCTCGGAAGGCTGGCTGGAAACCCAAGGGAAGAAGATTCAGCAGCGGAAGTATGTGCCATTTGATTCATGCTAAGTATAGTGCCTGGCACATGGAAATGGTGGCTGTGATTTTTGTTATCCTTATTATTACAGTGTCATGGTCATTATTTATTATTCATTAGATCTGTCCAACAGTTGGTCTCAGGAGGCACTGAGCTCCCATCCTTGGAAAGCCAAGGTCATCACTGGCGCACCACCTGTGTCTGGGGACACCACGCCTGTGTGGGGTATTTGTAAAGCTGATTCCTAACCCCTGGCCTCCCCTTTTCCCTAATCCTATGACTCTAAGAGCAATGCCCTGTATGCCCTGGGTAGTGAATCTCTAGATGCAATTCCTGACGGAGGAAACTGTCTTTTCCATAAAGGTTTTGCACTCTTTGCATTAGTTGCAGCGTGCCTCCCTCATGCAACGCCACTGAAGCATTTCTTTGATGTTGAAAAACAAAATTGCTTTGTGTGAAAGCTTCTTTAATCTTATATAGATACAAATGCCTTGTATCTTTGGGGATACGCCAGACCACTCTTAGTATTTGAGAATTAATCTTATTAAAGAAAGCTCTGTTTAATCCCCACTGCTATTTGCCAGAGACGTCAGATAATTCGACACCTGTTCCTGCTGCCACTTTCCTGTGCACTCTTCCCGGATTTATTGTTAAGGAAAACGCATTGGTTCGATCAGGCTGGACAATGGGATTCTAGCATTTGGTTGGATGCTATAGCTATAGTAAAGTTCCTTTATAAGTATTAACTCAATTTCTTTTAGTTAAAGAAAAGGAAAGAAAAGTAAGGGGTAGGGGACGCTTGCTTGTTGTGAAGAATAACAAATGATATAATGAAATTGCTTCATTAACTATCCAACTCAATATGATTACTTACAGTAAACCATCAGTATTGCTAAGAAAAATGGAGTTAATATAAAGTAACTATTTGTTGTCTCTTCCCAAGTATATAGGAAGCCCCTGTCCTTGATTGGACCTAGTCTGTAGAATAGCTTTTGCATATAAATATATATTATATATAAATATATATATATATACACACACACACACAAACAGTCCTGCCACATAACATTTCACTTGACAGACCATGTATACAACAGTAGTTCCATAAGATTATAATACCGTATTTTTACTCTTCCTTTTCTATGTTTAGATATGTTTAGATGCACAAATTCTTACCATTGTGTTACAATTGCCTACAGCATTCGGTACAGTAACACGCTGTCCAGCTTGTAGCATAGAAGCAATAGGCTACACCATATAGCAATAGGCTGCACCATGTAGGTTTGTGTGAGCACACGCTGTGATGTTCACACTGTAACCACATGACAGGTTCTTCCTGTCTGCTGCACAAGCAGAATCAATTCACAGAGACCATGGCACTGCAGTGAAGAAAGAGTTTAATTCACGTGAGGCTGGCCACTCCGTGCAGGAGATGGAGTCATTACTCAAATCAATCTCCCTGAGCATTTGGAAGTTAGGGATTTTCAAAGATTGTTTGGGGAAAAGGGTTGGGGGTGGCTAGGCAAAGGGTTCTTGCTGCTGATTTTTTGGGGGTGCAATCACAGGGGTATAAGAAATGGTTCTCCTGCTTGCTGGGTTACTTCTTTTGAGTGGGCCACAGGAGTAGTTAGAGGATCCAGATGGAGCCATAGGTGTCAGACATGAAAAAACCTGAAAAAGACATCTCAAAAGGCCAATCTTAGGTTCTACAATAGTGATGTTGTCTGCAGGAGTGATTAAAGCTGCATATCTTGTGACCTCCGGAATAATGACTGGCAATCGTTTATGTCTACACCTTAGCAGAATTCAGGCTCCTCTCTCCTCCTGGCCTGGTGGTCTCTCATTAGCTTTGCAAAGATGGTTGAGTTTGGGGAAGGGCTATTATTTCAACTATAAACTAAATGTCTCCTAAAGTTAGCTGGCCTAAGCCCAGGAATTTTTATGAGCATCTTGAAGGCCAAAGGCAAGATGAGGGTTGGCCAGATCAGATGGCCTTCACTCCCATGATTTTCTCACTGTTATAATTTTTGCAAAGGTGGTTTCAACACAATGGCAAAATTGCCTAATAATGCAGTTTCTCAGAGCGTGTCCCCATCATTAAGTGATGTATGATTATATAAATATGTCAGTCAACATGAAGTCACCAGCTCCCTTTCTCCCAATTCACTTCTGGATCTTCTCAGGGGCTATCAGTGAACAATCCAAACACACAACCATATGAGATAATCACTCAGTTACTAATTTTATCAATTATTTGTCGAGCTCCTGTCAAATGCCAGGCACCATTCTAGCTGGTGGGAATACAATGGTGAACAAGAAAGCAAAGTTCCTGCTCTCAAATCTACAGACCAAAAAACATGGTATGTTTGGGAGTAACAAATACTATGAGGAAAATGAAACAACATGATAATACATGTAGTCATTGGAGGTGAGGGTCAGGGGGTGGCAGTTTTAGAAAGCCTTGCTGAGGAGGTGACATTGGAGCAGAAACTTGAGAATGAACTAGGTGTTGGAAGATCTTCAAATGGATGAAGAACTTTGCAGAGAGTGGGAAGGGCAAGTGGAAGCATCCTGAGGTGAGAACAGGCTGCAGCAAGGGAAGAAGAGGCTCCAGAGGGGCAGGAGAGGATGTGGGGCCAACATGGTCAGCCCAGGAAGGCTTTCAAAGGGAAGTGGAAGCCACTGGAGGATGACTGGGAGCAACATAGAAGCAGTGGAGCAATGTGGTCTATTTTATGTTTTTAAAAGCCACCTCTGAAGAATGGATTATTGGAAAGCAAGAGCCAAAGCAGAAAGACTGCCATAGAAAACGCTGGATTTGACGATGGTGATGGCAGTGGTGGTAGAAGGAAGAACAGATTCAGGACATTTTGCGGGAGGTGGTGCAAGAGGACTTAAGGATTGATTCGTGGGTTTGGGAGGATGAAAAAGAGGAATCAAGGGTGACTCCAAGTTTCTTCATCTGAGCACTCAGGGAATTAGACCCGAGGTTCGCAAACTTTCTCTGTTCAGGGCACCCTCAATGTCTCAGTGAATTTTTCACGTTGCCCACAGGCCAAAAGAAATCCCTAAAGGTTTCATGTATTGAATCGTTACATCCAAATAACTTAATGAATATTTGTGTCTCATCCTTGTGTCACGTATTTATGTCACAATTTAATACACAGAAATTGAAGGACAAAATAATGCTTTTATTTCCTTCTTAAGTAGCCACTGCAGGGGAGAAAGCATGATTTATTTTCTTTCCCTTTCTAGGTTTTTAGTGGAGACACTCTCCTGAAAACAAAAGTCAGATTAACAAAACACATGCAAAAATGGATGAATGCTTGCTGCACCTATCATACAGGAGAGGCCTCAGTTCAAAAGTATTTCTCTCTCAAGGCAGTGGCTTAGGGACCTTGCTTACATAGTATTTTAACAAAGAGCCATAAATACCATGTAGTGACAAGACAAAGAAAAGAGCAATTCCAGTCTATCAAAAAGCAGGAAAGTGTGTGGGAAGAGAGTAAAATCTGTTGCCAGATTCCTCTGGTGTCTGCTGCTGTCTTCTCTGGGCCGATAAGTAAATGCCATCTCCAATAAGGAAGGATTTTTGTGCTGCCATCAAGCAAAGAGAGGCTGAGACCAAGTGTTCCCCTGCATTTTCAGTGTCTTTAACTTAACAATTCTCAACATTTTGGAGGAAAATATCTTGATTTCCTTCCCCACAATGACTTACTAATGAATCGTGTGTACCCATTGGGCATTGCACAACTTCCCAAATCTTGGAATCAACTGGACGTGGCCACCCTCATTTCCTGTTCCATACCGATTTTGGGGTGGTGCCTGATTTTTATCTCAACAACTGCCAAATGCCCAGCTTTGCAAAATATGCCATAATTGAAAGGAACACAGCGTAATCTAAAGTTAGTCGATGTCCAACAGATGTAAAGTATCACTGTTACCCTCAAAAAATTTAAACTATACTGTGGCATCCCTGTGAGTTCTCTGCAGTGCCCAGGGAGCCTTGGTGTACAGATTGGTGATGCCATTTAGGGGTGGGGGTGGGGGTGGCAGAAGAGGCACACTGTAAGTGAGGGCTGCTTTGGTTTGATTTGCTGTTGGACATTCAATGAAAGATACTGATCAAGGAACTTTAAGGAAGAAACATGCCACAAAACTAAATTCTATCCAATGTTAGTAGAAAAAACCTATTTTCCAGCATTGTTAAGAAATATGTTTTCCTCTGCCCAACTTCCTTGGTAACTAACCAGAAAACGTTTTTCTTTCAGCTGTTATTGTTGAAAACTCTCTTGGCTTGGACTCAGTTTACCCACTGACATTGTAAGTACTCAGCCAGGAGCCTGACTGGGCTCCATTGTCCCATGTCTTGAAGACTACACAGTCATGATTTCAAATAATTCTTATTGTCCTCCCTGTTCGCCACTCTGTGATCCTAGAAACAGCCATCTAAAATAGATCTCCGTGAAGTGGATTTTATTTTCCTACAGAAACAGCATTTTAAATGCATTGCATTTCTCATTATGAACAGGGCATTCCATAAACTCTAGATGTTACCACCAGTAGGGCTTCCAAAGAAATGTTCTTGAAGTGTTAAAGTCTCTTATCTGCAAGCTCTGAAATACGAAAAGTTCTGAGAACTGAGTCTTCCTGATAAGTTTGTGGGTCACTCATTTTTCCACAAAACCTGACCTTCCAGAACTCCATGGGGAGCAAAATCCAACCTAAACGGAAGTGGGACTAAAAGCTTTTCTTTATCCCACTTATTGTAAAAGTTTACATGTTTGCTGCAGAAATACTAAGACTCGCCACAGCATGCTTCCCCAGAGCCCTCTGGGGTTGTTTTGTATCTACAATGTAATTGTTATATCTAAATTCCACAGCACAACTGGCTGCAAGGATTTTGAACAAGGGATAGTTAGTCTCAGAAACACAGGGTAGAAAGGAACCTACCGATCTTCTAGGTCAATCTATTAATTGCCTGGAGACATGTGGCAGAATCAGCAAACATGTTCAGAATCATATACTTTTCAGGCGAGGTGCAGTGGCTCACGCCTGTAATCCCAGCACTTTTGGAGGCTGAGGCGGATGGATCACCTGAGGTCAGGAGTTCGAGACCAGGCTGACCAACATGGTGAAACCTCGTCTCTACTAAAAATACAAAAATTAGACAGGCATGGTGGTGGGTGCCTGTAGTCCCAGCTACTTGGGAGGCTAAGGCAGGAGAATCACTTGAACCTGGGAGTTGGAGGTTGCAGTAAGCTGAGATTACACCACTGCACTCCAGCCTGGGTGACAAAGTAAGACTCCATCTCAAAAAAAAAAAAAAAAAAAAAAAAAACCACACATATACTTTTGGGATCTCAACCAAGAAGACAGTGCAATTTCTCCTGCCACCAGCTGCCCACTGCCTCACGAGGCAGCCTAAACATGTACTCATAATTACTGAAACCCTGGTATCTCAGCACAGTTAGTGGGTAGAAAGGTATTTTTCACACACCCCAAAAATACCCTTCTTCTGAGATCTGAAATTAAATATGGCATCTGTTATAACACTTATCAATAATTCTGCTTCGTTGCTGATAATTGTGACTATTTAAGAGAGGTTAATTGAAAGGTTCTTTATATGACTCGAAAATTAGTGCAGTCAACTTGTAACCACGGATGTCTTTTCATCTCAGTGAATTTCATTTTAGCAAGTAGGAACTCTAAATATTACTTCTTTGTTCTTTTAAATAATTTTCATGAAAGCTTTTAAATATTTGAAGGAATCCCTAAGAACTTGAGTTATAAAGATTGGAAAGAAGACATATGTTGCTTATCTCCTCTTTTGCAGTAGTTAGACTTTGGAATGAGACAGACATTGAGTCCCAAATATGGCACTAAGTAGCTGTGGCCTCAGACCAGCTCATTGCCCTGGTTCTTAGTTAGTTAATAAGATAACTATACTTTGCCAGATGGTGATCAATCTTTAAAGGAAAAGAAAAAAGAAAAGCAAAATAACTTTTTCTGTTCTAGGCACATAGTAAGTGCTCAGCAAACGACAGAAACCCAACTTCTCCTTCCTCCTCTTCTCTCCCTCTTTACTTTCTTTATCGAGGAGAATTATTGTTTAACCAGAGCCTATGGAAGAGGCTGTGAGAGAGCTAAAGCCAGTGCACCGGGGGAGACCCCTAAGAAGGTCCCCTGAGAAGGGCTCTCCTCCAAAACACACATGACAGTTGGCACTGGGGAAAGAGCGTCGCCCTCCGCAAGAGCAGACCTGGGTCCAAATCTTAGTCTTCCCACTTAGGACTTGCCTGACCTTGGTGGAGTTATTTGATTTCTCTGAACCTTAGTGCTGTCATCTATAAGAGGGAGATGATAGCATTTACCGCTTAAGGCTGCAATGATGAACCCATTAAATAGGGCCCATGAAAGCACTTTGCAGCTCAAGGCACTATACAAATAGTTAAAGCATAGAGAAGAAGCGGGGCCATACTCCAGTCTGGAAACAGAAGAACCTGTTCCTAATTTAGATAAAAGGAGAAGAAAAGGCAGACGTGGCAAATGACAGCCCAGTCCATGTGATATTGATGCTGGGCAGAATTCTAGAACATTTCACTTGGGACAGGGTAAGGCAGCAGGGCTCCCTGGCGAGTGAGGCAGGGGGCACTGTACCTCTCTGACCACCCTTAGAGATGGGAGGACACCTTGAGTGGGTTGGGAGTCAGGGAACCAAAGAGGAAGGGCTTCAGGAAGTTGAGGGGGAGGGGCCTCGGGAGCAAAGTAGGAGTGGCCTCGGGGATTCCAGGGGCCAGATCTCAGGGAAGGGCTTAGAGAGTGGAGACTGAAGGGCCTCAAAAGTTTGGCCCAGCCAGCAGCCTGTGGAAAGAGCTGCTTTCATCCAAACCTTCTTGGGTTTGGTTTGTTTTGTTTTGTCCTTTTGAGACAGGGTGCTCTGTCTCCCAGGCTGGAGCACCGTGGCTGATCTTAGCTCACTGCAGCTTCGACCTCCTGGGGTTCAAGTGGTCCTCCCATCTCAGCCTCCAACATAAGCTAGGATCACAGGTGCACAACATCATGCCCAGCTAATTTTTTAGGTTTTTTTTAGAGATAGGGTCTTACTGTGGTAGCCAGGCTTCTTCTTGGTGTTTCTTTGTTGTTGTTGTTGTTTTCAGCCAAAAATGTTTGTAGTAAGATTTTCTTTCTCCCACCTTTAGTCTATTTTGATGCTCAGGTAGAAAACAATTTTTTCTTTCAAACGACTTTTTTTTTTCACACTTGTAAATTAAGACTGTAAACTCTTCTGTTTCCCCTGAAAGCTGATTTTCCTTACCTGTGAAGCAAGGGTGATGATGCCCACATCAGAGCTCGCTGTGAGTATGGAGGGGGCCAAAGCTTTGGCCACACAGAACCTTAGCTCCCCTCCCCACAGCCTCCCCTGACTGATAGATGGAGATGGGCAGCATGAGGGGTTTCTGCCGCAGCATCCCCGGAGCTTTCTGGTTGGACATTTATGTCAGTGGTTTGGATGAGGGTACAGATAAGACTAAGCTGGGAGGAACAGGAAATGGCTGGCAGTCAATGCAAGATTACTTGGATGAGCCAAAGAAAATGTAACGTCCTGGTTAGAGGGGCAGGAGCCCCCTTCCTCTTTTGGCGTAGATGCTGCAAACATGCTCACAGAGTCGGCAGAGTTCCCTCTTCTCAGAAACACCACACCACACTGTGAGGGGCCATCACAAGTGTGCCCCTGTCTCCACGCGTCTGGGCCTGGGCTCGGCTTCTGTTCTGGGCCGCCTGTGTAGACAGCCCTTGGACCACAACAGTGCATCTGGAGAGAAGACCCTAGAAACCTCACCATCCACAGAAAGGTGGAAGGAGGGGGTCAGTATTCACATATTGACTCAACACACATTGTACCCACTGTGTGCTGGCCAGGGCCCTAGGTCCTTGGGCTACACCAGTAAATCAAACCAAGATCCCTGCTCCCAGGGAACTCACTGTGTAATGAGACGAGCAAGGCAGCGCACACCACAAATGAATAAGGTACTTTGTACATTAGATGGTGAGAGGTGCTCTGGGGACAAAGGGGAAAGGACGGCAGGTTAAGGGAGATGGTAAGTGCTAGGAACAAGTAGGGGAGGACCCAGGGTGGTGGGGCATGCCTCACTGAGGCACCGGGGAAGGGGGGTGACAGAGGGAGCAGGACTGTGGCAGAGATCTGGGGACAGGCCCCAGGCACAGGGAGAGTAAGGGCCTTAACCAGAAATAATGCCCTGACCAGCACCTGGCATGTTAGGAAGGACCAGCAGGTCCAGGACCAGCAGGGCAGGAGCCGAGGGAGGTAGGGGGAGAAGAGTCGGAAGGACATTGCAGGCACTGAAAGGGCTTTGACTTCATCTGGGAGAGGGGAGCTATCACAGGGAAGTGAGGGGTCCACCCCACATCTTCAAAGCCAGCAACCCTGTGAAGAATAGACCTGTTAGGGGGTGTGATTGTTAACTTTATGTGCTAATTTGACTGAGCTAAGGGAGGCTCATTATTTCTGGGTGTGGCTGTGAGGGTGTTTCTGGAAGAGACTAGCGTTGGAACTGGTGGAGTAGGTAAAGAAGATCATCTTCACCAATGTGGATGGGCATTGTCCATGCCACTGAGGGTCCAGCTAGAAGAAAAACTTGGAGGAAGGGACAATTTTTTTCTCATTCTTTTTGGTCTGGGACATCCATCTTCTCCTGCCTTAGGACCTTGGAAGTCCTGGTTCGCAGGCCTTCAGACTCCAGGACTTACACTAGGGGCCCCCCTCCTCCATGTCTCAAACCTCCAGCCTTGGACTGAATTACACCACCAGCTTTCCTGGTTCTCCAGCTTGCAGACGGCAGATGGTGGGGCTTCTCGGCCTCCATAATTGTGTGAGCCAATTCCCATAATAAATCCCCACTTATATATCTATATATATCCCACTGGTTCTGTTTCTCTGGAGAACCCTGACTGATACAGCAGGTTATTGCAATAATGCAGGCAAGATGTGTTCGTGGCTCAGAGCAGGGTGGGAAAATGGAGGGATGAGAAAAGGTGAGATCCTTTGAAGAAGGAGCCAGACTGCTATCCTGGTGGATATGAGGTAGGGTGAGAATGAAAGAGAAGAGTTTTAGTCCAAGGGCTGAGAGGTCTGGGGAGGAAGACTAGGATCCCAGTTTAGGCATAGTGAGTTTGAGACGTCTGTTAGACATCCCAGCAGAGATGCCAAGAAGGCTGTTGGAGCTGAGCCTGGAGTCCTGGAGGAAAGTCTAATTGCTACCTTCAAACCCTTAGAAGGCTGTCATGTAGAACTCTTCATA